AAGAAGAAGTTAGGTTTGGAAACAAAGTTTTGATAGACGTGATAAAAAGATTATCAATTAATATTAATCGATTATATTCGAACGCTTTTTACAATTTAAGCAGCGGTCTGGAAATCGTTTACACGCAATTTTATCGCTGGGCCACCGCCCTCTGCCCAGGTGCTGGAGAATACCATTGTGATAATGCTCGATGTATTAAGGTTTGTCAATTCATCCGTTTATTCTAAATATTGATTTGTTGATTCACCGCTTGTTAGGGAGCAAAAACCTCTGTACCTTGAGAAGTAGATTCTATACCTAATTTTTATGCCCTTCAATAATTTATTAGTTGAATTGCCCGCATTTTTATCGGAGCCCTTACGATAAAAGAGAGTAATTGCAGCCTGAATAACTAACCTCGTTTCAATACAGTATCATACAACTATCTTTCACATACTGCTTACATAAGGTAATATCTTTTTGTTTAGTCAACACTACGATGTGATGGCGTGAATCATTGTGGAGATGGCAGTGATGAGCAATGTCAACGGCCAATATCTGATTTTAAACAACCGTAAGTCAACAATCGCTTTAGGGACTGAAATATCAAGCATTTCACAGATTATTAAATTGAGGCCAATGCTTGACTGAAGTCTACAGCTTAATGCTATAGTTAGGCCTTCTGTAATGCGTTACAGCTCAAAAAATTCCATCACAAGAATTAAGGCTGTTTTCACCTAACCTCACCTATATAACTGATAAAAAAGAATAACCAAATCACTCCTTTTTAGCAGTGATGCCGATGTTTCTGGTCTCATCGCGCTTGTGATTGGTATCTGCGGATTGATTTTGCTCATCATCTCTACAACAGCAGTTATGGGTCGCTTCTATCGTCGAAGAGTAGCGTCACAGTTTAGTCGAACTGATTTGTCAGGAGGTTTGTGATTTATCACTTTAAGCCTTTTTCAATGGAAATATTACTGTTTATAGAGTTGCGTCTTATGTGCGTAACCAAACAGCTTGACTTTTAGTTTTTTTCCCATTGGCACTATTTCGAAAATCCTTGCAGTGATTTTTCTCAAGTGTCTATAGTCAAAAGCTAGAATTTGAAACGTTCCATAAGCTTTCAAAAAATCACAATTCAAATCGCCTTCACAACTGCGTCCATGTGCACTGCCTACACTCCAGCAAAGCTTTAAGAAATGGAGCAGAGAATTTTTTTGGATAATCAATCATGTTTTTTGTTTCTGAACCGATAAGACCCAAATCCTGCACAAATACATTTCACACTCCAGCGGGGAAAGAAAGCTATTTTATAGGGCTTAGTCGTCTGATTGCGTTTATTTGCAGATTTTTGGTCAAATTAGTTCATTTTTAAGGTAAATCAGTCGTTATTGGACTACTTAAGCAAGATCGTGTAAACACACATAGTTTCTGAATGGAACATTGAACCGAAGCAGTTGCTCATATGGATTAGCAGTAGGCGTCAGAGTATCATGATGATTTGTAGGGCGAAGAGAGCCCAACTGTGCGCATTTTCATTTTTGTTTGCATATGAAGAAACGGATGTCAGCAGACATCTCGATAATCTGACTCTACATGCGTCCACACGACATAAAATACACAAGATCAG